GGTGCAACTGGTGGGAAGAGAGCAGGTAGGGAGGCTCCCTGCACCTCCCCAGGGAAGCTCCCAAAGTGTGTCTTGCTCTGTTTCAGTCCCTGCAGCTCTGGAGGCAGCTGGAGGAAAAGATGGAGTTTCTGCCATGGGGCAGGGAGGAGATCATCTCCTCTGAGCAAGTGACATGGCAGCATTGAGGAGATATGGTCCTCAGGCTGCGCAGCAGAGGAGATGTGTTCATAGGGAATATGCAGTGGGCACTGCTGTGAAAAGCGTTATGAGTGCATGTGTCTCCCAGCGCCACCACACTTCATGGCAGGCACATGAAACACTGTGAACCCTTGCTTGGACCACAGGACTGTTTTCAGTGCAAGAAAAGCTGGCAGGAAAGTCCTGGGCTCGGTGAGCTCATCCAAAGAGCTGCTGCTGCTTTGAAGAGGGAGCAGCCATTTCCTGAGATCATCATGAGCAGCAGTGCTTTAGCCTCCCAGCATCTCTGTGGCCATGTGCTTGGCATTTCCCAGCCTTGAAAGACCAAAATCATCACAGAGGCAAGGAAGAGGCTAGCCTCAGAAAGCAAAGAAAGAAACAACCCATTCCTGCAGGGAGAAGCCTACAATGGGGCAGCAAGAAATGTCTCAGGCTTCTCCCCTCTCCACGTCTGTTTGGGTGCCAGCACATCTGGCCTGGCAGGTGATGTCTCTCCTCTCTTTCAGGAAAAAGTGCATGATGGGCAAGGAGTTTGCAGGCCTGTGGCAGCTAGAAAGGGAGGCAGATGAAGAAGAGGGAATGTGGGTGGTCTCAGGGGTCTCCAGTGGGCTGGGCACTTGGGTTCCCTCTCAAGACCCCAGGCAGAGCATCCCACGTGCAGGTGAAATGAAAGCTATGGCCAGGGTCAATGCTCAGCACTCGTTTTTAAAGCATTTGTGTTTGGATTCACTGTGTCTGCGGGGCAGGGTCCCTGCTGCTTCTCCACTCCAAGTGCCCAGACAGTGTGATGATGGAAGCGGCTCCTGAGGGGGATGCAATCCCTCTGGAGATACCCCACACTCTAGGGACCTGCACTGGTAACGATTTAGGCTCTGTCTCCTCTTGTCAGCTGTGATGCCACTTCCATGGGGACTGGATGCATGGGTCACATGTGGGACTTGTTCCCAAACACTGTCCTTGCTCTGCCCATGGCCGTCCCTTTGCCAGCCTTATACACTTAGCCTCCCAGCCATCTTCACAAGACAGCTCCTGCATAATGAGCATCTTTGATGCTTAGGACGGTATTTGGGCGTCCAAACTGCCTATGCATCCATCCATCCACCCATATATCCAACCCTTCCTCCCTCTTCCAACTGATCCTTGCATCCATCTATACATCTGCACAGCTCCTTCCCTCAATCCATGCATCCTTCCCTCCCTGACTGAACCACTGACTGTGTATGTACCCTTTCCTTTCTCCCTTGCCTCGTGACATATATATGTTTCATGCCTCTATGGCTTCCATGATCTGCTGGAGCTGCTATTACTTCTTTCCTTGGCTCAGGATGTGGTGCAGGAGGAAGCAGGAGCAGCCATGAGAGGTAAGTTGAGACTGTTTTTCTTCACAGTCCTGTGCAACCTGCCTCCTCCCCTGCAAAATGCGGGCTGACCCTGGCAGCAAGGCAGGGAGAGGAGGAGGCTAGGCCTGAGGGCCAGCTCAGTTATTTGGCAGGGTTGGTGGCAGTCAAGCAGCCCAGGCACTGCTGCACAGCAGTCCACGACCAGTGCCCTCCTGCAAAAGCTTTTGCCCAGGCTATTGCTTTCCCAGACAAGCCCTGCACGCAGCTGAGCGGCTGGTGCACCCCAGCCCTTGCCTGAGAGATGCTCTGGATGGGGCCGCTCTGCGCTGGATGAAGACCTGGACATGGACCTTTCTGCACGTCAGTGATGGGGACCTTCCCTGGCACGTGGCATTGCCTGCTGGAAATTTTGTACCCCCAGCAGGACCCATGGCATGTTCTGCTGCACTTTTCTCCTGCTGGGCTTGGGCTGGTCTCTGTTCCATGCCAGGGAGCTGGACCGATCGCTGCTCCTCGTGGATGCAGCCCACAGCCTGTTTTGTCCTGGCACAGCCTCAGCATCCCCAGGCCTAGCTTATACCAGCTCCCCCAGCGATCTTGGCACAGCATCCGCTCTGGGGAGGGTGGGATACAGCAGCAAGGCAAGTTTGGAAGTGCCTCTGCCTACTCCGGGCAGGGTGCGTCCAGGCAGGGCTCCAGCCTGCAGCAGGAAGCCTCCTGCTCGCTCAGCAGCTGCACAAGCCACCAAAAAGCCTGAGCCCTGGAGGAAGTGCCCTGGCCCCGCGGTGGGACAGGGAGGTGCCGGCGCTGGGACTGCTCTCATGGTCCCTTCCTGTTTTTCTTCTCCACGGCTTGAAGGCGAAGTTGACTTTGGCATCTAGAGCCCTCTCCTCTATCCCAGATTGCTGTTCACCCCAGCCCTCCCCTTGCATCTTCACTGGTCCAGTGGAAAGCCCTGTTTGCCTATGTTGAGCACCAGGGCACACTCCCCTGGGCAGCTGGGAGTGCAGCACCCAGCACCAAGCATCTTTAGCCCCCCAAGTGCTGAACTTGCTGCTTCCTTGGAGCTCCCAATGCCTGTGTGTGACATTTACAGGCTGCTGGAGCAGGGAGCTGAGCCATGGGGAATCCCAGCAGGCAGCCGCAGTGTGGGCAGGCAGAAATTTGCGGTGGCATGCAGACGTCTTGCCTGCTCTTGGTATCTCCAGCTGCCAAATGAGTGGCAAGTCATGTCTCTAAAGCTTCCACCAGAGAGGAAAGGGGTCACCCTCCAGGGTCACGGGCACTAGGATGTGGTGATGAGGACCAGATGTACATCTCCTACCCTCAACCTGCCCTGGTCACCAGAACTGGGTGTCCCCACAGCCCGGCCAGGCAAGCCCCAGCCAAGGAAGGGGACACAAGGCTTGGCACATGGGGACAGCGCAGCTATGGGTACCCTCTGCCTGTCATTTCTCATCTACCCACCTGAGCTTGCCTGCACAATGCAGGCACACGTTCCCCTGTGGATGTGCGAGGCTCCAGTGGTCTCTACTCCCTCTGGCCAGCAGCAACCCCCTTTTATTTGGAGAAGGCCTGGACTTTCTGGAGGTTATAAGCAGGCAGGATATGGGGGCCAGAGCTGCCAGCTCATGCTCTCTCCCATTTTCTGGCCATTGCGCTCCTACGTCTCAAGCAGCCATCACCCTCTAAACCAGCACCAGGTGCTGGGAAAACACTGAGCTCAGTTTGCAAATGCTAGAGCCACAGCTATAGGATGGACATCACCCATGTTCAACAGCATTCTATGGACAACCACAGCCCTGATCCCTTCCATAGTGGCATCGAAGTGGGATCTGGTGGTGGTAAGAGCAGATTTCCAAGCCATGCTGGGGACTGAGGGGAGAAAAGGGTGACCATGACACATCAGAAAGGGTGCTGGCTGGGTTGGATGCTGGGGACAAGAGTCCAGCAGGTGATGGCAGCATGACATAGCTGGAGCTGGCAAGTTCTGGGATGCACCTGGGAGAGGGGATGTGGCTGTTGGGCCCAGAAGCCCAGGCAGGATCTGGCCCCTTATACCTCCCCAGCTTGGTGACCTGCCTTACTTGCTCCATGGAGAGCCCTTTTCTGTCCAAGGATGATGCCATCCCAGTAGAACACTGTAAATGGAGGGCTGACCCCCATCTCCCCCATCCAGGGTGAGTGTGCTCACCAGGGGCAGCAAGGGGCTGGGACCCCACAGAGCCAAGCACCAGCACAGGCAGCCCCCATGCCCCCGCACACTGGGTGGGAGCGCAGGGGCAACCGGTGAGGGCAGAGGAGTCCATGGGCTCACAAGCCATTGCAAAAGGCACAGCCCTGCCCCAGTCCCCTCCAACCCAGTCCCCATGAGCACCCTCTCAGGAGGTCTCCCTCCTCCGGGCTCTCTCTGCACCCCAGATTCAAGGGCAGCCCTGGGGCCCAGCTGGGAGTGACACATCTCCCTGGCAAGGTGGGCGCAGGAACCCACCCCGCGTTGGCTCTGCTCCCTGCACTCCCCACGCCACCGCTGCCTGAATTTCCACCCAGCCCCATCTGGATCTCATCGGGCTGCTGGCGCTGAGCACCGGGTCGGGAGGTGCCAACACATGGAAGCCATTAGAGGGGCCGGGTAGAGGTGCGGGGAGGGGGCCACATGCTGAGTGAGAGGGGCTGTGCAAAGGGTCCTGTCCCTGCTGCTAGGCTGGTGAGATCGGGGGAGATGTCGCAGGCAGCTGCCTGCATCCTCTTCTGCTCTCAGGCTGCAAGGGCTGGCCCAGGCAAGGGTCTCTCTCAGCCCCTCCAGGTGCCTGGGGAGGGAGCTGATCTGTTCAGAGACCAGCCCTGCTGCCCGTGCACATCCTGCAAGGACCATCCCCAAGCTGGCATCTCACCCGGTGCCACTCACCTCTTCCCTGGCCCAGCACCATCTGCAAGGGGGTCTTGCCTGGGCAGTGCCAACGCTATCCCCTTTATTGGCATCATTGCTTCATCCAGCCACAGCATGGGGCAGAGGGGCAGAGGGATGGGGTAGGGGGGTCCTTTCTGCCTGCTGGTGGCTGGTGGGAGGTGACGGGCAGGGCTTAGCATCCCCTGCCCACTGATGCCCGGCACCCCCAGAAGCATGCACCCATGGTCCCCCTTGACACTAGGCAGTGAAGTGGGCCTGGCTCAGCATCATCATCCCCATGTGTTCAGCAGCGCCGGGTGGTGGGTCTGGCTTGTCGCCTTGAGTCCGAGGTACCTCCAGCCGGCTCCTGGCAGGCACGGGCAGCCCAAAGCTCCTTGGAGCAGAGCCTCTCTCCTTAGGGTTCATCCTGCACCCCCAGGGTGCTGGGAGCTCCAGCAATGTCCACGGTCATGGGGCGACCCAGGAGGAGTGGGGTCCTTGGGTGCCAGCAGTGGCATCAAGCCCCACGCGTGGGTGAGCGGGTGCAGGGAACGGGGATCAGCCAGGGCTCACTACAGGATCTGGGCCTCTGCCGAGAGAGAGGGTAGGGGGTCAGGGAGGGCACTGACCTCCCCCCCCCCCCCACTTCCCCTCATTACCCCCCTGCACCCTGACTCACTTGGCAGTGCCTTCAAGTGGGTGGCAGCAACCAAAAAGTTGTGGGGTTTGGTCTTGTCCTTGCCATGTTTCCTCACCCGGAGCCTGGGGACAGAGCAACGGTGGCTGAGGACCCCAAGCAGGACCGTGGGCACCAGCACTGCCAGCATCCCTGGTGATCCTGCTCTGCATCCCTGACAAGCCCACTCTGCATCCCCATCCAGCTGTGCCCAGCTACTCCAGCAGGTCAGCTCCAGGGCTACAGCAGGACCCAGTCATGAGACAGAGCAGGGCTGGGACGGGGACAGGGACCAACAGCAGAGCCACAGCATGGCAGGGAGAGACCAGCCATGGCAGGATGAGAGGGGACCCAGGGACAGGAGCAGCAGGCAGTGGCCACGAGCAGGACTCCCAGGGGGCAAAGGCATATGGAGGGGTCTCTGGACTGACTCTGGAGCATGAATGAGGCAGGAGCATTTGGGGAAAAGTTAGTAGCAGCAGCATCTTTGGGGGATACAGAGAAACCTCCCATGGATGTGGCCTCATCAGAAAGACCCTAGGCAGGCTGGGGAGTACTGCAGCCAGTGGGGTGTGCTGGGAAGAGGCATTGATGTGGTAGGGGTGCAAGGGGATAAGGCATCATAAGGGGATGGGGCTGGCATCAAGTCTGTTTGGGCAGGGACCAGAGCAGGGCTGCAGGGACATGGGACACCCCATGGTGAGGGTTCAGGGGCCAGAGTGGGATGGGAATAGCAATCATGCAGGCCCCTCCCTCTCAAGACCCAACCTACCAGATGAGGATGGTGATGACGAGAACAGCAGCCAGGACAAAGAAGGCAAAGATCCCAAGGGACACCAGGACAGCTGTCTTCTCCAGGGGGTCACTGTGGTCTGGGACAGAGAGACTGTCATGGCCGAGGGATGCCACAGCCCCTGGGTATCTGGGGGACCCTATTGCAAGCTTCTGCACACCCCAGCACCCCAGCCACACACAGGCATGGGGCAAGAGACCCCTCCTATCACTCTCAGCCACACGTGTGCTGAGGTAGGCAGCTGTCTGCAGGCAGTCCCCACTCCTGCCCACCACCTCCAGCTCTACTCACTGATGGGCTCAGGGTTGGGAGCCTGGGAGGGCTCCTCGGCCAGGCTCTCCAGGCTGGTGTCTGTAGTGGTTTCTTCACTTGCCACAGTGGCTGGGTCTGGAAGGACAGGGGAGACGGGAATCACTCACCCAAAATCATGGGCAGCACCCCAGGGACCCACAGAGAGGAGCAAAGAAGGGTGCCCTTGTGCCTCAGGGGTCTCATGAGCCCAAGGGTGCCCCTGGGGTGCTAGCAGTGCTATGGGAGCGCCGCTCTGCCCCGAGGTTGTGGGGAGCAATCCCCAAATGGCAGCAGCACGGCTGCAGCCTGCCATGGGGCTCGGAGATGCTTTGCCCCCTTGCAGCTCTGTCTCCCACCGTGGGGCCAGTTTTTGGATGGTGCAAAAGGACCAGCTTTTGGGGTCAACTTTAAGGGACCCGAGGACCTGGGGCTTGCTCTGGGTGATATTTGTGGGAATGGGTGCCAGGAGGAAGGGGCTGAAGAAGGGCAGCCCAGGGTGCTGGAGGGGCTTTGGGGAGGGATGGCACAACCTGGTAGGGATGCTGGGGGCTTCAGCCTGTCCCCCTCGCACCTCTGACCGGTGTCGCCCGGGCCTCGGCGCTCCACTCGCTCCAGTTCCCCGCATCCAGGAAATCCTTGGCGCTGACTTGGACCACGTGCTCCAGCCCAGCAAAGGCATCTGTGATCACCTCCGAGAGGTTCACCGTCTCCACCTGCGCCAGGCAGAGGGGAGCTGTGGGGCAGGAGACTGCACCCCTCACTGCCCTCCCTGGCCTCGTGCCCACCCCACTCCCACACTGGCTTTGCCTTTCCTCACCCACCACTTACCACAGACCAGGAGCGGTGGATGACGGGCCGGTACTGGAGCCGAAACCTGAGCTGGAAGTGGGGTTCCTTGGGCCAGGAGGAAGGGTACTTCCAGCTCACATGGAGCCGCCGTGGGGCCAGGGGAATGGGCTCCACCACCAAGCCCTCTGGAGGGTCCGGCTTAACTGCATGGGAGAGGACAGGGAGCCCTTGTCATACCGGACTGCTATGCATAGGGGTGTTGGGCTCCTCGCTGCTGCCCAGGGCTGGATGCCTGTGGGACGAACAGATGGATGGATGGGGACTCACTGATGGCTTGCATGGTGATGTCGAGGAGTCGGAAGCTGGAGCCCAGGGGGTTCACCTCAGTGATGTTCAGGCGGTAGGAGCTCCAGAACTCTGACCCATGGACGGTGCAGGTGCCAGGGCGGGATGGATCCTGCAGGCACAGCCCCATGTGCCCATTCTTGTTCCTGCAGACGGGGAGGCAAGGTGGTGAGATGCCTCCCCCATCTGCCAGGCATAGTTTCCTGGTGCTGCCAATGAGGTGCCATGCAGGGAGACCCCCATGCCAAGAGCCTGGTGGAGGAGGCAGCTCCTGTTGCAGCTCAGCTGCCATCACCCCTCCAGAGTCTGGCATGTCCCTCTGGGCATGACTGAAGGGACCCCCACCCTAGCCCCACAGTCCCTCCTGGGAAGGTCCCTCCCTGGGGCAAACCCTTCTACGAGGTCCAGGTAGCTGGCTCCCCCATGGGCACCCCCAGCCCTCACTTTGGCAACCCTGCTGAGGACAGTGGCAGAACCTTTGGGATGGGGGCCAGTCTGAAGGAAGCAGGACTGGGGTGGGAGTCAGTCCTACCTCCGCTTCTCTTCACCCGTCAGCGATTTCTTCCTGCCATGGAGAGAAACGGAAAAGCAGATGGTGAGGATGAGGGGACAGCATGAAGCCAACCCCACCATGACCCAGAGGAGGGACAGGGGTCTCTGCACTGCTGAGCAGCCCTCCCACTCACACACCAATGCAGCGTGTGACACGGCACAAGGGACAGAGATAAAACAGTGCCCAGCCCTGCCGGTGAGCAGCCTGGCAGCAGGAGCTGGCGGTCCCAGGGGAACAAGACACCGGGGTGCCCAGGAAGATCTTCCCCAGAGGACCCCCTCCCCTGCCTGGGGTTTCATCATGCAGCAGCAGCAAAGGTATGGGAACAGTGATAAAAGCAGCTCCCAGGTTACTAGCTTCCCCCTTCTCCTACGGCCCTCCCAAGCCCCCTGCTTCCCCCCAAGCCCCTGATGCTCCACACAGTCCCGTCCCGTCCCGTCCCG